TTTAAAATTTTTAACTAGTTGCAACTTAAGTTGCAATACTTTAAGTTGCAACTATTTATGAATTTTTATATTAAAATGAATTTACAAGGAGCTGTAACCAAGTTGCAACTTCTTAATTATGATGTCTATCTTTAATTCTAAATAATATTTTTATATCATCATAAAAATTAAAATTATTTATTTTATATTAATTATAATAATAATATATTAAAGATTAACTAGAAAAATAGATTCTGAAAATTTTTTAATAAAATTTTGATTTTTATTACATTTTAATTTTTATGATATTAAATTAATTAAAATATAATAAGAATGAAATTTTGAATCACATTTTTCTAGCAAATCTTTTATATGAAAAGTATATTAGAAAAACCTAATTCTAAAATTTTGACAAAAATATAATTTTATTTTTATTTTTATTTTTTTTTATAATTTATTATATAATATAAAAACCAAATTAACTACCTTTTTTTATAATACAAAAAAAGTAAATATATATAATAACTAAATAAATACCACATTCCTCCGAAAATAAGCATCTCAAATTATTTATATACGACAAAATAAGTACCTTTTGATCAATATTCATTCAAAAATTATGAAATTTATATCATTCGATTCCACTCATTGAAGCGAATCTAATGAGCTAAATTATATTATTCTGTAATCACTAGATCACCAATTAAATTTTTTTGATACTAAAAATATTATTTATCCGAAATTAAGCATCCTTATAACAAAAATGTTGCTTATTTTCGGAGAAATACGGTAAATTCCCAAAAAAAAATAATACTAGAATCTGCATTGTATAACCGGAATGTTTATTCAACTTCTGAAAAAAAATACTGGAATTTTATTGGTTTATCATTTTAAAGGAATCAGTAAAACCTCGAAAACGGTTAAAATAAAACGAATATAAATAAGCACATGAATCAACCTCATTCATAATTACAAATTTCGCTCCATTATTTAGAGGTAATTGTCAAAAAAAAAAAATTTAGGAAATGTATATTTTTTTTTTGAATGAAGGCTTATTGAGTTCTCGTCTATTTTTTACTGTTCTGACATTTTATTCTCTTCTTTCAGTAACAACACGCGTTGCAAACTAATATAAACTAAAAAGCTTGTTACAAAAAAAATAAAACTTAAAATATATACTTTTGGCAAATATGGAAACTGTAATAGAATCACGTCGGGTTAAGGTGTATCAGCTTAATAAGGATAGCGAATGGATAGATAAAGGGACCGGTATTTGCTCTTGTTTACGCAACGGTGTAAGTTTTTTGGTCTTTAACGAACGAATATCATATGCATTAAGCCGATAACCCACAAATATTCCCCCAAGAATTCATTATCATGATTGTAGGACCATTGTAACTTTGTTAATATTGTCGTTCTTTTTTATCATGTCTGCTGTCCGGTAAATAGACAATGGATGATGCCCTCATAGTTGTCCAGTCAGAAGAAGACTCGTCCTCTATCTTACTGGAATCTCATATATTGCAAGACACGGATTATCAAAAACAACAAGGTATGAACAAAACGGGGTTATTTATCTCGTTTTTTATATTCTATTAATTTCCTTAATTTAAATATTAGACACATTGATAGTCTGGACAGAGCCGAATGGTACAGATTTGGCCTTAAGCTTTCAGGAAGCTGAAGGTTGCACGGAGATATGGTAAATTATGTAACCATCTAATAAAAATTTCAATAATTTTTCAATAAAAATCAATACAATAAATTTTTTTTTAGCACTTTTGTAAGTGAGATCAAGTCTAATATGTTATCAGAAAAAGCAAAGGGAAAACGAAGGGCTTCTTCCCCTCTCCCAGAGAGAGAGCCACGAAGCATGGCTATTATGCTCCCTGATCCAACTTTGGCAAATTTACCAGAAATTGAGCGGGTAGTTAAAAAGGCTACACGTTCAATTTACGAGCGAGAAAAACTTGCTTTGTATGTAACGCAGGTATATATATACTTTTTTTTAAAAAAATCTTTTAGTATATAATTCAACTTTTTATTGTCTCATATCCAAATCTTACCATTTGAAATCTTAGGAATATGTAGATAAGCTTCTTCCATTGCTTGAAACTTGTGAAGATCTTGAACAAGTACAAGATCTTTATAGATTATGTAACATTATGAAAGGATTCAGTAAGCTTTCATCATTCATCATTGTATTATAAATTATTAACACATCTTAATAGTGTATTTATTGTTTACTAGTAATGTTGCAAGATAATGACATGATACGGTACATGCTCCGTGATGATGTTATTCTTGATGTCGTGGGTTGTCTAGAGTACGATCCAGATTTCCCAAAGCATAAGGCCAACCATCGGGAATTTTTGACCAAAAACTCAAGATTCAAAGAGGTGGATATCATTTTGTTAGAATATGTGATTGACTAATTTATATGTTATAGAATTTATTCAATTTGTTTTTACTATTATTTATAATAATAATAATAATACTAATAATAATAATAGATCGTAATGATTTCTAACGAAACAATCAGGGCGAAAATTCACGAAACATTTCGTTTGCAATATCTCAAAGATGCGGTTTTTGCTAGAATGATGGACGATCCCACAAATTCTGTGCTTTCATCGTTGATTTTCATTAACCATGTCGAAATCTGCAAGCACTTCACGCAAGACGAGAAAGTATTAGAAGAATTGTTCCAAATCTTAGAACGTAAAGAGGAATCTTTAGAACGAAAACGTGACGCCGTGTTGTTCACATCACAACTATGCACTATAGCCAAGAATATACATCTGTCTCATAGAAAAGATTTGCATAAGTATATACAATATAATTTTTATATGGTTTCATTAATATTATGCGGTCTGAATTTTCCCATTTATGTTATAGGGCATTGGTTCGCCACGGAGCATTGCGTGTTTTTGACTTTTCATTGAGCAATATTGATAAGACCATCAAAGCGGCTGGTGGTGATATACTGGCAAATATCCTTGAAACCGATGCAAACCTTGTTCGCACTTACAATGTTGTTCAACATGAATGTGGACAAAAAACTTTGGTTGAAACTATCATCAATTGTCTTTTAAAAGATAAAGACTGTTTTACCAAAGGTCAATATGCGGAAGCAATCCGAATGCTATTGGATTTAAATGCTACTCCATTTGATCTTAGTATAACTACTGCTGAAAGTTCACAAGCAAGGAAGGACAATGAGGAATTCATCAGTTTTTTCTATAAACATCTCATTAAAAATTTAGTCAACCCGATAATGGAATTTCCGGAAATTACGGATGAAGGTAAATTGCCTTGAATCTTTAATATATAAAATTTTATTAATTATTAAATGATTGATCTAATAATTATATTAATGCTCGCTATCTTTTTCTCATCATTTTTAACAGAGATTCTTTGGTTATCATATGATAAGGCTACTTTAGCCTTCCATATTTGTGAAATCTTATCGTTTCTTGTCAAACAGCATACTTATCGAAGCAAATACTTCTTACTTTCAAGTGAAATAAGCTTAAAGGTAGTTGAATTTCTTAGATGTCGTGAAGGAACCGTTAAACTAGGTAAAATTTCATATCATTGATGAATTTAATGTGATTTAATTGTTCAAATTTTTATTCTTGTCGTTTTCTCTTAGCTGCACTGAGATATATTCGTGCTTGCATAGGAACGAAGGATGAAATGCTCTACAGTCACTTCATTAACAAAGGAAAAGATATATTTGACTACGTAGTTCGTGCCTTATTAGATACCAATGGGAAGGATAATCTCATCAATTCGGCCTGTCTTGAATTCTTCGAGTTTATTCGTAAAGTAATTTTTTTTTTAAATACTCCATTAGAGTTTAACGTTTAATACATTTACGAAATTTTAATATAAATAATTTTTGTAATAGGAAAATATCAAGTTTCTCATAAATCACATCTGGGAAAAGTACGGGGATAAGCTTTCTAATATTGATTATGTCGATTGTTTCAAACAATTCAAACTCCGTTACGAGCAGATCAATGAAGTAATCCAACATATACAAGCGGAACCCGGTCTAAGGTAAACTTGTCGTTTGTAGCGTTTATTAAAAAACTTTTTTTTTGATTTTGCTTTCATTATTTTCATTACTACTTTCTTTTTCTATTGTAATAGCCAAATTACACCTCGTAGATCTGGTAATGACGGATGGGAAACTAATTATATGGATATTGATGAGGAAAACTATTTCAACACATCTGATGATGAAGACGATAATGTCGTTCCCGAATAAATTATAGTGTAGGTTTTTTTTTTTAAAAATCAGAGTATAATTTAATAGGGATGGAGTGCTCTGAATCCGGTTCGTATGAAATAACCGTACCGAACCGGGTTCATGCGACCGGTACAACAAACCAGTTCGGTTCCAGCCATGTAAACTGGTTCATCTAGCTGAACTTACAGGTTCCATTTAACCGATTCAAATAATTCAATTTGGACTAATTCGGTTAATAACCGACCGGCTCTCCAGTTCAATTCATTCTTTACTTGCTTAATCAGCTATAATCTTCGCGAGCAGTAGCTCGGGCAAATTGATTATAACTTTCCTATGATAAAAAGTAGTTCAAAATAAGTATTTTGAACATGTTGGACGAGGATAAAGGTCAAAGTTATACTTAATTCATTTCTCTTAGCATCGTCTATCAAATAAATAAATGTTTATAAGAGAAATGAATTGTACAATCTTTTGTATAGTTTAGTCTTTTTAAAATTTTAAGATTAGTAATTTTAAATTTTGCGTTATATATCATTGATAGTAATAGTATTATAAATTTTCTCATATGGTTAAATTATAAAATTTTAATATATTATTTTTCTTTTTAAATTTTATCTTCTAGTATTATTGATATATAATAGGTTTAGCATTTAAGAATTTTCGAAAAGTATTAGAAAGGAATATTGAGATCTTTAATGCTTAATTTCTTATTATAATTATTTATTTGCTGAATTTAATATATTATTTAATCAATTTAGATTATAAATATAAATCAAAAATTATATGATTATTTATTATTAAAAAAAAATTTTTTTTTTTTGATAATGTATTACTGTAATATGAAAATCTGAAATCTTTAATTTTTAAAATTTAAAATTTATTAATCTCAATTCATAAAATTTATTATATGGTTTACTTATTAATTTTCTAAATTTATTAATATTTCTAATTTTAATCATTAATTTATTCTTAAATGATAAGTACCGTAAAATCGTGAAAATAAGCACCCCTTGAAAATAAACACCCCTGTGACTTTTGCTATCATGTCTGTAAAA